AATTGTGTACATGTGTTTGGACATACATCTAGGGGTAGAATTTCTGACTCACAGGGCATGTGTAAATTCAGCTTCAGTAGATCTTGCCAACATGTTTTCTAAAATTTTTTAAATAGGTCCAACTCCTGTTGCAATATATGAGAGATCTAGTTTCTCTTGATGTCAATCTTTTTAATTTTAGCAATATTCTAGTATAGTAGTACTGCATTGAATCTTCTGTTGTACTCTTCTGATTTATTTTTTAAATTTTAATATTAATTTTTTTGTTGGTCATAGGGCTTGAACTTTGGGCTTGGGTGCAGTCCCTAAGCTCTTCAGCTCAAAGCTAGCACTCTACCACTTGAGCCACAGCACCACTTCCAGCATTTTCTGTGTATGTGGTACTGAGGAATCGAACCCCAGGGCTTCATGCATGCTAGGCAAGCACTCTACCACTAGGCCATATTCCCAGCCCTACTCTTCTGATTTCTATTGAAATTGGTTACCTCCTTGGTGTGCTTTTAAATTCATGGTTTTCTTTTTGTGTGACTTGTCTGATCAGGTCCTTGGCTCATTTCTTCCCTTTTGGTTTTCTTTTCTTTCTTTTTTTCCTATTTGAAGTGAGCTTTATTAGAGCTACATATGATTCTAGATATTGCAAATATCTTTTCCCACTCTGTGATTTGCCTTATTATTATTGTTATTATCAGAAAAAAGTTCTCAGATTCACAATCCTCTTGCCTTATCTTCAAAGTGGACATTACAGATGTGTACCACAGTATCTATCAGCATCAAATATAGGGCTTTGCACACAGTAGGCAACAGCTCTATAACTAGCCTACAACCCCAGTACCTTTAGTGGTATAATATATACTTCCTTTCCTCCTTCCCTCCCTCCCTTCCTTCCTTTCTTCCTTCCTTCCTTCCCTCCTTTCTTCCCTTCCTCCTTTGTTCCCTTCCTTTCTTCCTCCCTCTTTCCATCCTTTCTCTTTTTCCCTTCTTCTTTTTGTGCTGGTCCTGGGACTTAAACAGTATCTGGGTGCTATCTCTGAACTTTTATGCACAAGCCTACTACTCTACCACTTGAGCCACAGCTCCACTGCTACCTTTTTGGTGGTTAATTGAAGATCAGTGTCTCATGGACTTTCCTGCCTGATCTGGCTTTGAACCTTGATCTTCAGATCACAGCCTCCCGAATAGCTAAAATTACAGGTGTGAGACAACTGGCATAGATCTTAACTCTATATATGTCTATGCCAAAGAGCTCTTCATGGCACCTTGATTATTGGACAGTACTATGTTCCTCCTGTCTAACACTCTTTGTCTATTTCTCAACCTCCACTCCTATGTACACCCTAGTTGCTCTGTGTGTGTGTGTGAAAGAGAGAAAGAATAGAGAGAGATTGTCTGTTTAGGGTAAGTTCCTCCTAGGCTGTGCCTCCCAAGTTCATACCATCACCATGCCCAATGATTTTTTTGTAGTTTTAACTCTTAGAACCAGCAATTATAAATTTCTCTTCCTTCCTTCCCTCTTCCTTCCCTCCTTCCTCCTTTCCTTTCCTTTCCTCTTTCCTTTCCTTTCCTGCAAGTACTGTAGCTTGAATTTTGGGCCTCATGCTCTCCCTTAGCTTTTTTTGCTAAAGGTTGACACTCTACCATTTGAGCCATACCTCTACTTCTGATACATTTCATCATTTAAACCTTAAACTATCTTATGAAGTAGGTAGTATTATTATTCCCTGATATATGTAACTGATATATGTAACATATTCCTGAGATATTTAACTGCCTCAGTGTTACAGATGCCACAACTAGTTCATGAATCCTAGTATGGTAGGCAGATTTCTAAGATGCCTTTTTACTACCTACCTGGCTGTGTTCAGACACTTAAATCCTAGCTACTCAGGAAGCTGAGATCCTCAGATCTCAGTTTGAAGCCAGCCCAGGCAGGAAATTTCTTGAGTTTTTTTTTTTTTTTTGGGTCCAGTCATGGGCCTGAACTTTGGGCCTGGGCGCTGTCCCTCAACTCTTTACTTCAAGGCTAGCGCTCTACCACTTGAGCCACAGTCCCACTTCTGGCTTTCTTTTTCCTGCTTATGTGGTGCTGAGGAATTGAACCCAGGGCCTCATGCAAGCGCTCTACCACTGAGCCGCCTTCCCAGCCCTTCTTTAAATTTTAATCTCCATTTAATCCCCCAAAAGCCAGAAGTAGAGATATGGTTCAAATGGTAGAGCACTAGCTTTAAGCAAAAAAGCTCAGGGCCATTGCCCAGGCCCTGAATTCAAACCTTAGGACTCTCTCTGTCTCTCTCTGTCTCTGTCTCTGTGTCTCTGTCTCTGTCTATGTCTGTCTCTCTGTCTCTCTCTCTCTCTCTCTCTCACACACACACACACAAATATGTCACTTATATAGTTAGGTTACAAAACATGGTACCTTCTATTTTGTCAGGAAACTTTATTGTTTTCTCAACTTGCATGCTTTGATAAAGCAAGCTGCCATGCTGGTTGGAGGGATACTCATTATAAGGAACTGAGGTAGCCAATAGCCAATAAGGAATGGAGGCTTAGGGCTGGGAAGGTGGCTCAGTGGTAGAGCGCTTGCCTTGCATGCCTGAGGCCCTGGGTTCGATTCCTCAGCACCCCATAAGCAAAAAGAAAAAAGGAATGGAGGCTTTCTGTCCAATAGTCCTGGAGGAGTTAAGTCCTGTCAATAATCCCCAGTGAGCTTGGAAGTGAGCTTCCTCAATCAAGCAGGACTTTGATTGCACTTTATGATTAACTTTGATCCAGATTAACTCTGAATTGTGCATAGATTCCTGACCCACAGAAACTATGATTTAGCTGGCTCACATCTGTAATTGTACCTACCTGGGAAGCTGAGATCTGAGGATCCTGGTTTGAAACTAGCCTGGGCAGACAAATCTGAGAGACTGTTATCTCCAATTAATCATCAAATCACTGAAAGGGGAGATGTGACTCAAGCGGCAGAGTATCAGCCTTGAGTGAAAAAGTTAGGGGAAAGCTCTAGGCTCTGCTTCAGGCCCCCACCACTGGGCACAAGCAACAGCAACAAAAACAAAAACTCCACTTTTATTTTTTTCTTTTTGAGATTGAGCTTCACTATGTAATAAAGGTGGGTCTCAAATTTGTAATCCTCCTGCCTAGCCTCGTAAGTGTTGATAATATAGGCAAACACTATCAGGCCTGAGTAAATGTTGTTGTTTTAGGCTATTAACTTTTGGAGTAATTTATTGCATGATAATAGAGAAAATATACAGACAGACTGGATGCAGGCACTTGAATGGTGGAGGCAAGAAGTTCTTAAGCTGAAGGCCAGTCTAGGCTACTTTATTTTTATTTAGCTATCTATTATTTTGTCAGTTGTGGGACTTGAATTCAGGGCCTGGGTGCTGTCTGAGCTCTTTTGCTCAAAGCTAGTGTCCCGTTCCCTTCCCTCCTCCCCCAGTCCTGGGGCTTGAACTCAGGGCCTGGACACTGTTCCTGAGTTTCTTTTGCTTAAGGTTAACACTCTACCACTTGAGCTATAACATCACTCCTGGCCTTTTATGTTTGTATGGTACTGAGAAATCGAACCCAGGGCTTGATGGCATGCTAGGCAAGCACTCTACCACTAAACCACATTACCAGCCCCCTCAAGGCTAGTGTTTTAATACTTTGAGCCACAGCACTACTCCTAGTTTCTAGGATCCTAAGATCTCAGCCTCCTGAAGAGCTAAGATTACAGGTATGAGTCACTGGTGTCCATCTAACTACTTTAGAGAGAATGTTAAAAGTAAAATACACCTGTAGTCCTAGCTACATTTCTAGAAAAGGCGCTGTGGCTCAAAGTGGTAGAACTCTAGCCTTGAGCAAAAAAGCTCAAAGGCGTGGCCCACGTCCCAAGTTCAAGCCCCACAACTGATAAGAAAAAAAAAAAAAGAAAAATATACACTAGCTGAATCTGATTAGCTCCAAGTTCACACTCTCCCCAATCACATTAGATTGTTTCTATAACTCTATATTGTCTCCAGGTACAAAGAGATGATGCGGTAGCTTGGTCTGATTTTGGAGGGCAAAGATTCTGTTAAATAGACCTTTCTTGAATCTGGCAAGCAGAATCCCATGGAGCCAAGAACTTGTCAACATTGAATCCTGAGCTAATGAGGCCAACAAAATATCTACTCTAGTGGTGCTCAACTCTGGCAGTACGTTAGAATCATCTGAAGAAGAATCCCACATGTTATTTTTAACCAATTAATAAAAAACCAAGCAATTTGGGAGTGGAAATGATAGATCTGTACACCATACTACATATCTTCTTACTTTGTACCATCTGGCTTTTTCCAGTTCCTCACATGTGCATGCACCATTTTTCAAAACCACTGTGCTTAAAATGCTTCTTCTCCATCCTTCATTAACTAAATATGATCTGATTTTTATATACCAGGCATTATTTAAAACACAAACACAAAATGAGCATGAAAAAAGATGTGAGGTCTTCTGATATTAGACTTTAATAACTGAATTTAATCACTTGTGTAAATGATTGAAATTAAAACTTGGAGTGCTGTGTGTTGTGGTGTAATTCTGTAAATCCCAGCTTTTGGAAGGCCAGCAGGAGGATTAAGGGTTCCAGGTCATCCTGGACTACTGTTCAAAATCAAAACAAAACAAAGCAACATTCTACTGTGTGATACGATCTTGTTAAATTATTTTGGAAGTAGCCAATCAGCTTTAAGGGCTAGTCCCTTTCAGGAAGCCCAATAGGAATTCTTCAATGAAAAGAATCTGTTTTGGTGAGGAAACTTAACCCACGTGGGAGGAGCAAGGGGCTGCCAGCTTCACACAGGTGAGGGCAAGCCGCTCCCATCCCGGCTTTAAGCCTCCAAAGTGTAAGGGGACTCCACCTCTTATGTGCGCGTGAGTGAGGGGCGTGGTCTGAGGACCAGTCGCGATTTGATTGGCTGGAGGGAGGGAATCCACGGGTTGGCTCCGCCCAGGCGCTTGCCCGGGTCTCCGGTTGGAGTGACGGGAGGGAGTCCCTTTTACTTCTGCCTCCCAGCTATGGCGCCGCGGTGCCGCACCCAGTCCCCAGCTGGCCGCCCACTACTCGACGACGCTATCCCAAGTTCCCACAGAGGGTGAGGATTGGAGTAGGTACGCGGGAGCGGCGGGGCGCTGCCTGAGACCGGAACCATGAGGAGTTGCCGGACCTGTGGGGCGGTTAGCTGGAGCCGCCGCGGCACCTGCTGAGGAAAAGGGAGAGGCCGGGCCGGTGAGGCGGCGGCGCGGTCGGGGCGCGGCGGAGGCTCGCCGGCTTCTCGGCCATGTCACTGCTCTGCGTGCGCGGTGAGTGTGCTGCTTGGGGCAGGGGAGGAGAGACGGGGGTCCCCGACTCATTGCCACTCGGCTCTAGGGTTCTAGTGAGCGCCGTTACCACCTCACCCCAAACTTCACTTGCCATCCGTGCCTGGGGGGACAAATGTGTTAAACAGCCGTGTCTACACCCTTGAAGGCTTCTCCCACTCTTTCCCGAGTCCTCTCCGGTGCCACTGGGGACGGTTGAAGACTCGAGAGTGTTGGGCGGCGGACTCAGGTCCTGTAAATCACGGGCAGGGTTCTCTAACCAGAGTGAATGAGAAAGGCGGCCGCGGGTAGTTGGCGCCAGTCAGTAGTGCAGCTTCTCATTCTTTTCTTCTCCTTGCACGAGAAAACTATAGTTTGCTTGGTAGCAGGTGCTTTTCATCACTCTTGGAACGCGTTAGCGGTACAGCTGTCACATCCCTTCTGATAGTGTATTTCTTGGTTTTCATCTCTCACGATCGCTTGTCTTTGTCTTCGGTTCTTTTCTTGAACCTCAAGCTTTATAGTCGAAGCTAAAATTATTCTTATATCCGCTTGGAGAGATGCATTGTTTTTTCTCCCAGGCTGGCTTTGTATTTGAGATCCTCCTGCTTCAGCCTCCCTAGATATGGGATTATAAGCATTTTAAAACAAGAAAGAGCTCTAGGATTTAAGATGAGGTATGGTTCATAGACTTGGCTCCATGTGAGTAGATTCTCCCTCCCCCCCTTCCCCTTCCTTTCTACTTTCCTCCCTCCCTCCCTCCCTCTCTTTTTCTCTCCCTCTCCCTGTCTCGATTTTTTTTTTTAGTATGGTATTTCCCAGTGCTGGCTTAATTGAAGCTCAATGCTGATTTTAGGCTGATTACAAGGACTGTGATTTTTTATTTTTTTATAGAGAGATTAACTGATCAGAAAATGTAAGGTTTGGACTACTTTGCGAATTTGATCCTGACATTCAAGTTCCTGCCTAACACATCGGTAGATGGGATAAGGTAGCTCGATTTTGATCTACTACAGTCTTCAGGAGCCTTTTCCTGGCACCCTTTACTGGATGGAGTTCATGTTTCTTTTGGCGGTACAGATTAGAAGCATTGTTGTTTGTGATCTCTCTGATACCAGTGTTTCTCCCAGCTGCTGCTGACAAATGGAACTGCTTTGCCCTGTTCTCCATTGTTTTGTTAAATCTGCATTAACCTCAAATGGGATTTGGTTATTTCCGGGGATTATGAGACACACAATTTTTCTTCTTTCATGGTTGATTTTTCATTAATGAGAATTTTGCTTTGGTTTCAGTGAGACATTTTCTTTGAGCATCTGGGAGTGTATTTATTCCTTTAGATCCCTGCTCTTGAGTAGCAGGATTTGGGAGAGATTGGGTTTTGCAATGTTGCTTGAATGGTTTAATTCTCTACTGCCACACTGTATTATGGGACTAGTTCTTATGAAAGATTCTTCAGGAAGTTGAATTTTTAAATCAGAAATTCCTATTTGATTAAACTTAAATAACTTCAGAGAAGTAACTGCTGGCATTTCATTTGTTATGACTCTGGCAGCTTTCATTATCTGGAAATTCTGCTATTCTATTTATTTATTTTTTGTTTGTTTTGTTTATGTCAGTTGTGGGGCCTGAACTCTGGGTCTGGGCGCTGTCCCTCAGCTCTTCAGCTTAAGGCTAGCAGTCTACCACTTGAACCACAGAGCTACTTCCAGCTTTTTCTGCTTATGTGGTACTGAGGAATCGAACCTAGAGCCTCATGCATGCAAGGCAAGCACTCCACCACTGAGCCATCCTCCCAGCCCCCCATTTATTTATTGTTTATTGTGGTTTGGGGTTTGAACTCGGGGCTGTAAGCATATTAGGTGGGAGCTCTACCATTTGAGCCATGCCTTCAGCTCTGCTTTTTTGCTGGTTGTTTTGGAGATGGTATCTAGTACCATCTAATAGCCATGCCTCCAGCTTTCCTTTGAATTATAATCCTCCAGATATCAGCCTCCTAGCTACTGCTAGGATTGCATGTGTGAGCCACTGGTCCCTATTCTATTCTTTCCCTTTTAAGGTTAAATTGGTCGTTTTTCATCTTGCTTCCTACAGATTAAAGGCTCTCAATCTAATGACTGACTTTCCTTTTTGGCCTAATATTCTTGATAGTCTGTTCAAGCATTGACTTTGTTCATTGCAGCATCTGCTTTGTTCTGTACTGATGCCCCTGAAATACTCTTTGATATTTTTTGCTTATCTAAAATGTATTCTTCCTTTTCCAGTTTAAAGTCTATTTTTTGTTTTATTTTGTTTTTGAAAACTTCAGTAGTCCACAGTGATCTTTCTTCTCCTTGAAACCCTTAAAGCACTTGTGGTCTTGGACAGTACTACTAATTTGGCAATGAATCATATACTGACTGGCACTGTTCTTGTACCATTCGGCTTATGGTGACATAATAGCATTGGCCAGATCAGACCTGGGATTGTGTTTAGTTGAGGTATTTCCTTGTAAAAGGCACATTGAGAAATAATAACAAGAAGATTAAATTTTTTTTGAATTGATTGGTTAAGACTAATGAAAGGTATAGAAGGTATTTAAAAAAAACATGAGAAGTTCAATTGTGAGAAGGTTTAAAAGTAGAGAATCATAATGGTAAATGAAAAGAGTTTTAAAACTTAAGATTATTTTGTTGCTGTATGGAATAGTGGTCTATGGTTTAAGGTAACAGAAAATCAGATTTGAGCTTAACATAACGAACTTTGAGCAACAGGGTGGTTATGGTGGCTTAGTGCTAGAGCACTTGCTTAGGCCCTGGGTTTGATCCTTACAACTGGGGCAAAAAGAAGAAAAGGACACAGTATCACTAGCATTATAAAAACAAAACTTGTCATTAGTGATACTAGCTGGACCAAGTTGATTTATGTTGTGACTTGCTGTTAAAATCTTTATCATGATTTATCATTACTAATCAGCCATCTAATTAATGGCAGTACTACCAAGAATCTCTTAGAAAGTGAATTTTGATAGCTCAAATATTTATAAGACATTCAGGATTGTGGGAGAATTCTACCCAGGGAGACTTATTAAGGTATATTTTGATTTATAGCTCCTGTGGCAAGTAGGAACTTGATTGTGCCTTGCCTTAGCCAGGTAGTAGTGAAGGGGCAAAGAACCAGTTTCCTCTGTTATGGCTGTTGTCATAAATAACTTTCTTATTTTTTTTGGGTCCGGTCATGGGCCTGAACTCTGGGCCTGGGCTCTGTCCCTCAGTTGTTCAGCTCAAGGCTAGCACTCTACCACTTGAGCCACAGCGCCACTTCCGGCTTTTTTTTTCTGGTTATGTGGTGCTGAGATATCGAACACAGGGCCTCATGCATGCAAGGCAAGCCACTTGAGCCACAGCGCCACTTCCGGCTTTTTTTTCTGGTTATGTGGTGCTGAGGAATCGAACCCAGGGCCTCATGCATGCAAGGCAAGCGCTCTACCACTGAGCCACCCTCCCAGCCCCTCTAACTTTTATTTTTTTGGTTAGTCATGTGATTTGCATTTGGCCTGAGTGCTGACCCTGAGCTACTTTTGCTCAGGGCTAGCACTCTTAACACTTTGAGCCATAGCTCTACTTTCAGGTTTTTTGTGGTTAATTGGAGATGAAAGACTCACAGACTTTTCTGCCCAGGCTGGCTTCAAACTGTGATCCTCAGATCTCAGCCTCTAAATTATCTAGGATTATAGGTATGAGCCAGTGACCAGCTCTTTTTTTTTTTTTTTTTTGAGATAGGGTATTGCTATGTAGCCCAGTCTGGCCTCAAACATGCAGTCTGCCCCATCATGCCTGGATAAAGCAAGATTCTTTGTGAAGTATTTTTTTTTTTGTCGGTTGTGGGGCTTGAACTCTGGTCCTGGGCGCTGTCCCTCAGCTCTTCAGCTCAAGGCAAGCACTCTACCACTTGAGCTACAGCACCACTTCCGGTTTTCTGGTGGTTTATTGGAGATAGGAGTCTCACGGTCTCTCCTGCCGGGGCTGGCTTTGAACCGCGATCCTCAGATCTCAGCCTCCTGAGTAGCTAGGATTACAGGCGTGAGCCACCAGCGCCCAGCTTCCATGAAACTCTTATCTCCAATAAACCACTAGAAAACCAGAAGTGGCGCTGTAGCTCAAGTGGTAGAGCACTTGCCTTGCGCTGAAGAGCTGAGGGACAGTGCTCAAGCTGAGTTCAAGCCCCACGACCGACAAAATAAATTAAAAAAGATAAAAAGGGGGGACTCATTTTGTAGTACAGGCTGGCCTCTGACTAATGATCTTCCTTCCCTAGATTATGGGTTTGTACCACCAGGTTGAGCTATGTACATACTTTTTTTTTTTTTTTTTAAAGATATTACTCTTGTTTAGGGTGATGTTCTTCCTGCCTCAACCTCCTCAGTAGCTTTAATGTTCAGTGTTGTCATATTTGAACTGTCATAGAAAAACTATGAAGCCCATTTTTCTAGAGTTGTTGAAGTTTATTTCCTTTTGCATATAATGCCTAGGTTGAACTGCTCTGCATGAGGAAGTTTATGAAGCTATTTTGCATTTCCTGCTTTGTTATGATCCTTTTTATGATTACTAGGAAGTGGAATAATAAAAAAATTTAAGCAAATGGTTAAACTTTATGTTCAGTTAATGAAGGAAATTTTATTTCCTCTTTCTGTTCTTCTCTAATGACAATGAAATGTTCTTTCTCAATTGTAATCTTCAAGAATGTCTATCAGTTGAATTTGCTAGAGAGGCTCACATGGAATCATGAGGGCTTCTTTATGTGTTTTTGTTTTATCACTCCACAGTAATAGAAAGTAGAGTAAAAATATGACAGGATGGAGTTTGTGCTAGGAGGTAAATATTCTAGCTGCTTTTTCCTAAAGAATCAGATAAATAGTGAAAGTCTTAGGTTTGAGAAATATGGATCTCCTAGTGGTGCTGTGACTCAAGTGGTAGAGCGCTTGCCTTGAGCTGAAGAGCTGAGGGACAGCGCCCAGGCCGAGAGTT